TTCTATCTATTCTCAACAGTAATTAACGCACTTAAAGCACAAGTACAAGAAAATCAAAAGATTTCGTTTTATTTCTTCTTGCGCTTGCTCTTTAATTTTGTGAATTAGTGTTGATCAAGAAAAGAATGATTGTGTTCCGTCTTCCCATGTTTCTGCTTATGCTTTTTTTGTTGACGATCTCACTGAACTTTGCTGTACCGGTTTTGCTTGCGTTTATATCGCTAGTATAAAATAACCTTTAACTTACACCGTTTTCCAACCAAGAGATTGTTGCATTTAAAGTTGAATTAAACAAATTGCTTTTCTTTACACATCGCAAGCAACAACCTCAACGCTAAAAAACGACGTAAATTTACTGCGCGTAATGCTTCACTGTGTCCGAGCCTTTGATTTTGAGAAAACCATAAATACTTCAACAAAGTACAAGTGTCAATGCGAACTTGGAAAAACAAAAAAGGACTTGACAACACTATTAAGAGACTTTTGCCCACCGAAAATTCCTATAATTTTTCCGATAAGCAACATTTTAAGGTGTTTCGATTGAGTTTTGCGGAGACCATACCGATGTTTTCATTCGTCTTAAAAAGTGATTTTATCCCTGTCTGATTGTTATGAAGTTTTCACCACTGAATGATTTTGGATTGAATAGCCGTGATAAATTGTTTAATAAAAAAGTTCTAAATCACTCAAATTAGTCCAAAGTAGCGTCAGAATGCTGCTTAATATCGTATTTCACTGCTTGGAAGTTTTGGTGTAATTTTTTTTTTTTTTTTTTTTTTCATGCGATCCTGAAAACTAGGCTACCGTAAAATTCCGAAAATAAACCCCTCCATGTATAAGCCCCTCCAAACTCGTAACGCAAAGAACTCTCCGTTAAATCACCCCATCAAATATAAGCCCACCCCACCCCCGGGGGGGGCTTGTACTTGGAAATTGCCCTCAAAGACAAAGTACAACAAAGCAAAAACGGTAAATTTCCTTTCAATTATAAAGCTAGCCCAATCGATTTTAAAACGCAAATTTCCCTCCATAGATAAGCCCCTCCGAATATAAGCCCCTCAAAAAGGGCCTTTGAAAAATATAAGCCCCGGGGGAATCTCTGACTACCACTTCAGGCGCTTTAGGCTCCTCAACTTCTTCTGCCTTGTCACTAACAGAGCCTCTGGCATATTTGGGTAATCACCAGTCTTGCCACTATAGCCACTCCTGGAATGACGGGTGCCTTTCGGCTACTGCCGGTTTCTTCACTCCTGAAAAACAAGCCTTGGGCACCACCCACTGCTCTGACCATTCAGCATGGAGTGAATGGTACCATTACTATTTGGAAAATAGTCTACCTTTTCTTTGAATGTGTACCTCCACAGGGAAAATTATTGTCGTCAAACTGCCGAGAGGGTAGTGTGGTTTATTAGTTGCAAGGAAAGGTCACTAAAAGAAAAAGAAAGAGTCCTTGTGCAGCAGTTTGGTGCAACTGTATCCTGTTTGCCTCACTGAAAGAAAGTGAAAGGCAGGCAACTGCTGAGTAGATTCATAAAGATGTCTTAACGCTTTGATTGATAGCCTAGAGAGTACAGCTGGCAATTACTGTATGTTGCATCGGTGCAGTTCAGCCTTATAAAGTACACGGAAATAGAATGCTGGTAAAAAAAATAATGTTTACATCAAACCTGCCATTAGAAAGTTTGTAGCAGTCGGGTATCTGCAAGTACCTTGAACTACTGTCAGTAACCTGTAGTTTGTGCAGCAAGGTCTCTTCCATAGGGACTGTAATTATTGAACAGTTGTTGGTAAGTCAGAGACTCATATAGCCTCTGTAAGACTGGACTACATGTACGCTATTGTGTAGCTTTGATTCGGTAGCACCTGAAGTATAGTGCACCATAGTCTGCTGTGGTGTAGAATGTTGCCGTTGTGTGAGTAGTCTGTTGTTGAATTGGCAGTGCAATCAGGGTCTATGACTCCATTCACCACAGGTCCCCACAGACCATAGGTCTTCATAGGTTGTTACCAACATTAAAACATTCGTCAAATTTTCCCAAGAAGCAATCCACGGTGAACAAAACATTCGTTACATTTTGAAGATTAAAAACTCGTAAGGGACTGAGACTTATGGGAAATACCATATATATTTAGTGAAAAGTTAGTGTTAATGTTGGGCTAGCGGAGGGGTAGGCTGGCAGTTTCCCAGAAACGTATAATGATCTGGAAGGTTTAACACTAAAATATGAATGGCTAATTTTCATAGAAAAGGCCCTGAAAATAGGTTCAGTCAGCTGGTTACTTTTTTCCGCATTCATCAAACCTTTACATGTATCTTTAAAACCAACCAGCCCAGGGGTAGTTTTGAAAAGGAAGCACTCGAAAACGAAGACCAAAGCATGCAGCACGAAGCACCCAAATCTCACAAACCAATTTAAAAAAGGCTTAAAAAGGTGGATGAACTTTTACTGACATAATAGCTTACATTTAGACTGTATGTAAATATCAGTTTTCACCTTACATACACTGTACATTGTATCATTCTTACTACACCATTTTGTACCTACACTAATACTTTTTACCAGTACTTTTTTATTTTTATGTTTTATATTTTTAAAGTTTAGTTACAGGACCTTTCATAGGGATAACCTGGTGTTCCTCCGTTTCAAATATGCATCATGTTTATATGTAAATAACAGCAACAACAGTTAATTAGAACTACTACTGTACAACTAAAAGGATTTACAAGAATAATAATTTTTTTATTATATAGATTTAGCCAGGGCTAAAAGTGGAGCTCTGGTTAATAATACGTTGGCTTCAAGACAAATAGATTTACTTAGCAAAAAAACAAATTGCACGTGCATTACACTTTTTCTTCTAACTGGCAAAAAACAAATTTGCACGTGCAGCACGCATTTTGTCTTTCCCTTGCCGTTGTTTTGCACGACTACAACGCTGTTTTGTACAACTAAAATGTCAAACTTCCTAGTTACACATTATTTTTATGGAGGAATTGTTGTATGTTCTTGTAACCCAATATTTTATTTCCTGTGTTCATGTTCGCTTTTAATTTTTCACTGCCGTTCATTTTCACTTTACGGGCCGCTAGCATTTCTCATTTTCTCACCGCCGCTTTGAATTTCCCTGTTTTTCTTCCTAAGCAATTCGTCTCCTTTGTTTTCAATAACTCACTCTATCTCTTTCTCCGTTATCCACATTAGTGTAAACATAAAAAATAACGCCCAAAAAGACACGACTTTGTTGTTGTTTTTTCTTTCCAAAAGTTCGGGCGGTCATGCGATTTCCTTCCAAATAAAACCTTGAGTTGCATTTGGGTTGCCATACCTGTTGATTGAGTTATTTTACATTGGTATGCCTGTGGTGCGGACGGACGGTCGCTCGCTCAGTGTACTGTCACGTGATTACCAAATTTTCTCGGATGGGTAGATTACCAGATTTCCTTAAGCTATAGGGCTCCGCCCACACACGGCGCTTCACGCTGTGCATGGAGCTCCGCTATAATTATAAATGAATAAATAAATAAATAAACAGTACATACAGTAGCGGGACACCCAAAATAACTAAAAAGCTAAACTAGTTGGGTGGCCGTAATTATGATATTAAAACTGTGAAAGTCAGAAAAGAGGCACAACAAATACATTGGTACACCTAAATATCATAAAC